GTTCAGTTGGGAAACAGTCAATAATAGCTGATGGTAACTAAAAGCTTTAGTTTTAGCAATTATTGTAACAATGCAGAAAAGCAAGATCTCTCAGATACTAGTAACTATAACAATGCAGAAAAGCAGAATCTCTCACATACCGGTAAGTACTAGTACATGTACACATACATGAATGTGCATGATAAAGAAATCAAAATATGGAATGCTGAATATTTGTAGGTGCCAAATGAAAAGATTCTCATTTTGTGAGAATTAAACTTTGAAGATTTAATTATTATAGCTACATGTACATGTAATGTATACATTAATAATTTGGTTAATTTTTGCAATTTGTGTTAGATGATAAAATTAAAAACGTACATAAAAACTAGTGTACAGTAGAATGCTGGCAATGATCTGATACCGTATAGGAGTTATATTTTGTTGGTATTAATTGTGCAAATTTGTTCAGATTTTCCATTTGTTGTGAATCTTGCCTTGTGCAGCCATTTTTCTTAGTGTACCATGCTTCTTTCATGGAATTTAATTTTGCGAATTTAATGAAAAAGAAAGAAATTAATGAAATGTATTTCCAATGAAATATAACCTCTATACGGTAATAGCTTACCTATATTAGATGTACATGTATGTGTGTTTGCCAAAATTGTGCACTGTATAACAGTAGACAAATACTTTGCAAGTGCAGCACGCACACACACACACACACACGAATACATTTAATATACGGCATTAATAATTAGTGCAATATGTTTTTATATAAACAAATACTGCATTCTATGTGTGCATGTGTGTGTGTGTATCTGTGTGCAGAATCTAAGATCTTGACAAATTTTATGCCATATACTTAAGTATATTAGCATAAACTTTTCAGGTTATTATTTAAGGAAATGACCTGCATTTTTTACACAAACAAACAAGCATCCGCATTTGGATGCCAAAGCATAATTATGCTGTAACTATTTTTTATAGGAACTTCATTAGGCCAGTTAAATCCAAAAGTTGTCCTTCAGAAAGAAAGTAAATCTCTTTTGTTAAAAATTTTCAATATATTTTTAGTTTTTGCTACTATATCTCCAAGCCATCAAGAAGAAAGATTTGTTCATTCAATGAGCACTGAAGAAGCTGGCCCACCACCTGCTTATGCCTCACAAGATGAGCTCTGTATTGGTATTACATCTAGTAGTGCAACTTCTTCAGTCACTGATATACGCTCCAGGATAAGCTCTGACCCTTCATCCTTTCATCATCTTAGGGCTCCTCATTTATCAAATACACAACGACAAATGACTTATCCTCCTATTGCTAATGTTAGCACTCAATTTTATTCAACATCATTTTGTTAATTGTAGGAATCACCAACCCTCCTTATTCCTACTACAGCTCAACCTAATTCAATCGAACCAGCAGAACTTTCAAATACTGGAAATTTTGTTCCTGGTGATAATTAACTGTGACAATACTATTTTTGTTTCATTATCTAATAATTATGCTTCACACGTAGATCAACTCAATTTTGTAATTATCATTAACAATAGTATTATATATCATTGTATAT